ATATATATATATATATATATATATATATATATATATATATATATATATATATATATATATATATATATATATATATATATATATATATATATATATATATATATACATAAATATATACATAAATATATATATATATATACATATACACACAGATGAAGTCAGAATTATTCGCTCCCCTGTTTATTTTTTTTCCCTAATTTCTGTTTAACAGATATTTTTTCAACACATTAATCTAATCATCTAATCATAAAAGTTTTAATAACCCAACGATTGTTTGTTTATTAGACTATTGAAAACATATAGAGCTTAAAGGGGATAATAATTTTGACCTTAATATGGTGTTTAAAAATTTTAAAACTGCTTTTATTTTAGTCGAAATAAAACAAATTAGACTTTCTCCAGAAAAAAAAATATTATCAGAAATACTCAGAAAATGTCCTTGCTCTGTTCAACATCATTTGGGAAATAAAAAAAATAAAAATCTAAGCGGGGCGAATAATTCTGACTTCAACTGTATATATACTATATACTATGTACTATATACTGCTATTATACACACACACACACACACACACACACACACACACACACACACACACACACACACACACACACACACACATATATATATATATATATATATATATATATATATATATATATATATAGTTGACGTCAGAACTACTAGCACCCCAGAATTATTAGCTTCTTGTTTATTTTTCCCCCAATTTCGGTTTAACAGAGAGCAGATTTATTTAACACATTTCTGCACATAATAGTGTTAATAACTCATCTCTAATAACTGATTTATTTTATCTTTGTCATGATGACAGTAAATAATATTAGAGCAGATATTCTTCAAGACACTTCTATACAGCTTAAAGTGACATTTAAAGGCTTCACTAGGGTAATTAGGGTAACTAGGCAGGTTAGGGGAATTAGGCAAGTTATTGTATAATGATGGTTTGTTCTGGAGACTATCAAGAAAAAATATAGCTTAAAGGGGCAAATAATTTGACCTTAAAATGGAGTTTAAAAAACTGCTTTTATTCTAGCCGAAATAAACAAATATTATCAGACATACTGTGAACATTTCCTTGCTCTGTTAAACATTGTTAGGGAAATATTTAAAAAAGAAGAAAAAAATTTGAAGGGGGTTAATAATTCTGACTTCAACTGTGTGTGTGTATATATATATAATACAAGGTAGCATAGGCCAGGTCCTGGCTGGGTCAGTTGGCATCCAAACAAATGCGCTATAGGGGAATTGATGAACTAAATTGGCTGTAGTGTATGTATGAGTGTGTTTGAGTGTTTCCCAGATCTGGGTTGCAGCTGAAAGGACAATCGCTGTGTAAAACATATGCTGGAATTGTTAATGGCTCATTACACTGTGGCGACCTCTGTAGATAAAGACTAAGCCGAAAGAGAATGAATGAGTGAATGAATATTATCGAAGGAATATTCTCTGATAATGTAACCACGATATCTTTCATTTTGACTGAGATTTGATTCTGATCTGATTTTTTTGATTTTGATCTGTTCGAGAAATTGCAATTAAAAGTAAAGCTTATATTTAAAACTGCATCACACCTAAATCCTAATTAACCCGACTAAGTGCCAAATACCAAATTAAGGTTGAGAATCTCCCATGTTTAGTGATAGATGACACATTTTTGGGGAATTTATTAAAATATTTGTTAAACAGATCTAATTTGTGTTAATAGTCTTGATATCTTGAATTATTTAGCTCCTGCCAGTAAATGCATCTTGATTTAAATTCCTTTAATCTGTGCATTTCATGAAAACAAAAAAATACTAAAGTTTGCCCTTGTCATTACAATCTGCAAATGCGCCTCCTGTTTGTTTTGAGTTAAATTCTCCAATTAGATCTGTGGTATTGGGAGTGGCTTACACACTTAACCACGCCCCTCCAGCTGTCAGAGCTATGACAACAATCAGAAATAGTGGCAGGAGGAGTCTGTAATAACTCTCTCCAAACCCTTTTCCCCATCTTTCTGAATGACACGCCTACTTTACTGTAATCCAATCAGCTCACGTTAGAGAAAACAAGCCCCGCCCACTGTTTACTCATTTAATATTCCGTTTGTCTAGGAACTGCATCACAATATGAATTAAAAAGCTTCTGATTCATGCAGACTTCAAGTTTTTGATCCAGTGGGAATTGTCAGTAAAATAAAGACATGTTTATGCTTTATTTTTAATATTAATCCATCATAAATCAGTCATCAACATAACTGTGAGAGTCTGTGCTGATTCACACTGTGGGTTCATTAGTAATTGTTAAACGTGTGTGAATGTGATGAAGAGGAGCAGGAGTGTGCACAGATGAACAGTGTGATGAATAAATGACAGGAGATCAGAGATCTCATACACACACACTCACACACACACACACACACACACAGATAAATGAGAGTGTGTGTGAGCTGTGTGAAGTGTTTTTATAGGCCTTTTCTGATCCACAGGGAACAGATTTAATCCACTCTGTACACAACAGACGGACACACACACAACTTGTCCTCGATTTGCTTACACACACACACACACCCATACATATTTGCACATACACGCACACACATACATACTGTACATATTTGCGGAAAGGTACACATACAAAAAGGCGCACACACTCACAGGCGCACAGAAAGAGACACACACACACACACACACACACACACACACACACGCACGCACACACACATTTGAAAAAAATACGAACTATAAATGTGTGTGTGTGCATGTTTGCATGTGTGTGTATGTGCGTGTGCGTGTGTGTGTGTGTGTGTGTGTGTGTGTGTGTGTGTGTGTGTTTCATTCACTCATTTTCCTTCGGCTTAGTCTGATTATTTATCATGGTCGCAGTGGAATGAACCGCCAACTATTCCAGCATATGTTTAACGCAGCGGATGCCCTTCCAGCTGCAACCTGGGTACTGGAAACACCCAAATACACTCATTCACATTCATACACTACGGCCAATTTAGTTGATCAGTTCCCCTATAAGCTCATGTGTTTGGAGCACCCGGAGGAAACCCACGCCCACACAGGGAGAAAATGCAAACTCCACACTAAAACCCAGCTGAGATTCGAACTAGCAACCTTCTTGCTGTGAGGCCACAGTGCTAACCACTGAGCCACCCTGACACCCTTTGTTATTATTGTTGTTTAGTTATTTGGATTGAAGCTTCACACTACCGCTCTTAATGCTCTTTCTAATGCTACTGTGTGTGTGTGTGTGTGTATGTGTGTGTGTGTGTGTGTGTGTGTGTGTGTGTGTGTGTGTGTGTGTGTGTGTTTGTGTGCGTGCATGCGTGTGTGTGCGCGTGCGTATGTGTGTGTATGTATGTGTGTGCATGTGTGTGTTTGTGTGCGTGCGTGCGTGTGTGTGCGCGTGCGTATGTGTGTGTATGTATGTGTGTGCATGTGTGTGTGCGTGTGCATGTGTGTGTGCGTGTGCGCGTGTGTGCGTGCGTGCGTGTGTGTGTGTGTGTGTGTGCGTGTGTGTGTGTTCGTGTGTGTGTGTGTTCGTGTGTGCCTGCGTGTGTGTGGTTTTCTGCAGGTTGTCAGATGGTTTTACTCTTTGACTGCGGTCAGAACACAGACGGAGAACATCAGAGGTTAAACATGTAAACACTCTTCTCACACCATCACAGACTAAACCTGAAGCGCTTCATGAGTCTGATGCCTTTTGATAAATACCATACATGGAATAATGTATAAAATAATAATAAATAAAGAATCAATGTAGATTAATACAATCAGAGATGATAAAAATGATGAAGATTAGTTCAGATACAGTACTGCTTGTTATGGACTCATTTCATTGTGTTTTTCTGCGTGTGTGCGTGCGTGCGTGTGTGCGTGCGTGTGTGCCTGCGTGTGTGTGTGTGTGTGTGTACAGCCACAGTGTTGTGTGTGCAGACGCTGCTCTTAGCTCAGTGTATCTGCTGACCCTCAGTGGAGTTCATTCAGTCCTGATCAACCAGTGGCAGAGCAGCACCGCAGAAAACACACACAACATGAGCTCCATGCTGAACCGTGAGTCTCACACACACTTAAACACATACATATACACTCACACAGACACACACACACATATTTGCACATACAATAAATCACAAACACACACTTATACAAACTCAATCACATACACAAATACACACACACGCAATAAATCACAAACACTTACAATTACAGACGCACATTCACACACACACACAATAAATCACGAACGCACACAATTACACATACAGACTTACATTCACACACACACACTCACTCACTCATTCACTCACACACGCACACACACACACACACACACACACACACACACACACACACACACACACACACACACACACACACACACAGTAGCATTAGAAAGAGCATTAAGAGCGGTAGTGTGAAGCTTCAATCCAAATAACTAAACAACAATAATAACAAAGGGTGTCAGGGTGGCTCAGTGGTTAGCACTGTGGCCTCACAGCAAGAAGGTTGCTAGTTCGAATCTCAGCTGGGTCAGTTGGCATTTCTGTGTGGAGTTTGCATTTTCTCCCTGTGTGGGCGTGGGTTTCCT